CGTTAAGAAAAAATACCGGCACGCAAATTACTTTTTGGCTACCATAATAAATCGGGCGCTTTGAACAATTTTATTAGCAGCCGTAAACGTTATAGAGACGCAGTTAAAGTGTCAGAAATTTGACCGTAAACGAGCGTCCATTTGAAAAAGGAGTGTTTTCTTTGCGCTCGCGCAGCTCTCCGACGCGTTGTAATAACAAGGCCGGTAAAGTTTTATTGTCTATTCACTGTGATGAGCTTATTTCTTTATCTCTCCGTATGACTAATCATTATTTACTAGCTAGTCTTTGAATCTTCTCGAGACGTAATGTTATTGTAACGCTGGAAATAATAGTAGTTCACTTACGTGAAGTGTGTTTAGTTTATTTAGGCGGATCAGCTAGAAAAGCGGAGACCGGTTAATTGATAGGTTGCTGAATACCTGTGCACTGGCTCCGAACAATGCAACCTGACTAATTATCCACGCTCCGATTGTTTAAATTTGAAACTTATGAAATCGCGTTACAACTTGTATTGTAATGGCGCGAGCGCACATATTGCTCGCAGTAACGCGCGCACACTACTTTTACGTGGAATTTCTTTCGCGATGCTTTTTTGTTTAACTTTAATTGCCGCTCGTCGGAAAGGAGAGAGATAAAAGACGCTGTCGAAGAGGGAACAACGACCAATGAGGCATTCCATAGCTTCGGTAGACTTTATTAAAAGAAGCGGATGTAGGGGTAAGTATTTTAAGAGGATCCCGACGCGAGCGGATTGGAATAAAGGAAATTATTAAGAGCTCTCTCCATGATAAAAACTCGGTAGACGGAAGTTACTCCAACTATGGGTGTATAAAGCATCGGACGCTCATATCGCGTTGCATTATGTAGTAATAAGTCGATGATGCGTGCGAAGGTTTTACGTTTTTCGAAGTGGAAACTTATATAAGCGGCGGTCGCCGGGCGAATAATAATGCGGGGCGCGTAACCGATTACGATTCTAACGTAATTATCGACGATTTAAGGCACAGGTTTGGTCGAGGTGTGAGTTTTTACGCGACGCGCTGTGGATCGTTAATTACTTTCTAATGTGTACGCCGCTATCGAGCGCAAAAAGCGGCTGAGTTCACACGCGACAATGGATTAAGAACGGCATTCGACCGACGCCGCGTGCGTTACCGTACTATTGTTTTGAAATTCGAATCGAACGTGACGTCACTGCAACGTTAATTTCTGAGAATGGCACACCTGTACTTATTTCGAAAAAAAAAAAGAATATATAGTACACGCATGAATTGTGACCATGTAGGTTGTTAACAGAAGAATTTTCATACTTTCATTAAAACTGTGTTATTTGGAGCGTGGAAGCATTTTACGAAACATGCAAATATAAGTAACAATCTCTAGAATTAGTTACGCCGTTGCTTAGTCTACTTGCTGCACAATAAAGACGCGTGTTTCTTCACTTGACGACACAAATACATTAATCAGGCTGAGCTTTTACGTGTTTTAAATAGTGTTCGGGAACAATGTTACGCGAGTATTTGTTTTGTTAATACTAGTTGAGTAAATGACCGCCGTAATTACTTACGACTGTACAAGACCCCACAGAATGAACTTTTCGCTCCGTTGCTTGAAGAGAAGTTTGTATAAAAACTTGAATATATAGCTATTTGTATGGTGTTTTAATTAACCTTAATTAAGTAAAATCAGTGAGTTAAGTCTCACGGTAACAAATACACTGGACTATCATTTTTGTGCCACATATGGTGGAAATGACTTCCGGAACATGAGACGCACACATGGCCCGACTTATCAATGACCGTCAAAATATCATCATTATTAGTATTTAATTAGTTCCTCTCTAGATTGGTTACATTACAATATTTTCATCATAAAACCTTTTTAAAATTACAAGAAGAAAAACAAAAACATATTAAATAATTAGTTATCTGTGGTAATCATTGATATAATTATTATATCAAAGGTTTTCTTCGAAATCTGAACATTTGCAATCGCACGCAGCAAAAACTGAGCGTTGCGAAATATTCAAATATGTACAATCCAATTTTATGTACTTTTTGGAAAAAAATCGACCACAGATCAACTCAAAAATGGTAATAAATAACGATTATAAGCAAATTATCAGTACGTAATATCGCAAAACATTCAGTCAGTATGTCCTAAAAACTATTCTAATTTATTATTTCCTTCGCAACAGCTTACCAGCAACTAGTTTCTAGCATTCCTTATCACGAACCTAAAAGAAACTCGTTATTTTTATTCAAGGTGCTATAGTAACGGAATAGATAACTTGGCTAATTAAAGAATGCAGGGCCGAGGTCCCGCGCTATTAAAGGGTTCATTCTTTAAACTTCAAATAACTATTTTAATTTCAAACATTCGTAACCGCTTTGCATGCAAAGGTTGTACGAGGAATTTTTTAGAAAAAGGAATTTTAAACTTAACAAATGAATTCGAAGGATTTTTTGCAATACTGCAAATAGTAGGGGACTTTATCAACCACCCCGTGGGAAGGTGACTTGCGAAATATTTATGAATTATGATCAGATGACAGTCGCCAGATCTCACACTGCATTTCTTACAATATCTTCAAACAAACAGCCAATATTAGCAGCTGTGAGACAACAATAGAGATTAACTATCGAATTTATTGTGACTGCGTAACAATAGATGATGGACAAATTTATTAAGATAAGACACAATACCGTCTATGAGTAATATCGCGCAACACGGATCTTGGATCCATAAAAACGTATAGTTCACGGCCAGCGCGCGCGCCGGGCCCCGCGCATGCGCGGAAGCACACTTTGACATTTGGCGCTCTCTCCGCGAAGCAGGTGTAAAATGCACAATTGCATAAGCACAACATTTTTTCGCATTAAAACGGCAGCGTATAACGGTTCCACGAGCGCTTGTGAATGGGCCCGTTCATGCCGGGGGGTGTGCACCCCTGCCATTAAGGGCACGTATCGTTGACCTTTCCTCCTATCCGCGCTGTAAGCCAGCCATTAGCCGCTCTCCGTACGTGCGAACGCTCGCTCATAATCCGGTCCTCACCTCTTTGACATCCGGACTGTCTAACGGGCCTCGGAGTGCGCTTCACAATATAAAACTTGTGATTTACAAACTCAAATTGTTTGAGAGTGAAATAAATGAAATCCCGCCGGCGAACCGAGCGTCTGCATACAAATGAGATTTCTTTTCGGAGTGAGCCATCTCTTTCTCTAAACGCTGTATGATAAATCGTTTCTATGCGTCGTTAACGCGCGCGCCGCTTTACTTGTAATTTCACTGTTCGATGTTGTCAGTAATATTAATATGCTCATGACCTATTATCGTGCAGGTCAGATCTCCTCTCGGGTCGGGACTAGTACCGATTTATTTCACAAGGGATCAGATAAAGTTCGGATGCAGTTGCGTTTAAGATTACTTCGGCGGGGTTGTATTACAGCGAGCCCGTTATGACCGTACGCTCGCTGGTTCAGGTTTCAAAATATTGTGATGCTGGCCATCGAGCCTTCGATGAGTAAATTAAATGTCAAATTCGAAAATCGAGCGTCTGCGAGCATCTCGGCGGAGCCCGTTCACCTGCCGGGCCGGTCACGAAGCCAGCGTGCGGAACGTACCATATACTAACACATTACGCGGTACATATTTATTCGTGCGCGCGATATGCCTCGTAAAACAGGCGCTTCTCTGGCCGACGATGACCTCATTGTGAGAAAAAATCCAAGTCAGCTTTAACTAATAATGCTAGGGGCAGATTGTATTATTTAAATGAGACGCATCCAAGTGTAGCCGTATCGGTAGGCGGCGAGGCGTATGGCGCATATCCTCAGGGCACAGGATTTACAAATTTTAGCGACATATGGAATCGTGGCATATGGGTGACTTCTGAATGTCCGACTGGAGTGAGATAAACTGCACATGGCGTGGAATCGACAACGTCAACTGCTAGCTAAGCCTGTCACTTTTGAAATTTGATAGATTAAAGCATTCTGCGGCCGCTTTCGCTCAATTGATCGCATGTCAACACACGCCTCGCAATAGAGAGCTCTATGTGAATTTAAACAGGAAGTTTCAATTTAGCGCCAATTCATTTGGAATGATAGCGACAGTTACCGGACGCACATCCACTATCCGAAAAAGTTTTAAATTTCGTCTATGCTCAGTTGGCTCTACCTGCAGTTTCGTTTAGTTACCAAATGTCACGTTTTCTCCAGATGGTCGGAGCTTGTGCAAGCGGCCGACCATAGGTCCGATTGTTTGCTCAAACATTACGAGACGGTACGACATTTGAAGCGGGCCGCTAAATAAAATACAAATAGCACTCGAAACCTCTAGGTCCACACGCGGCCTGTGTAAACCGTACACAATTGACGCCGAGCGAAATAACCGTAACTAAGGTCCAATTAAGACGTCCGTTATCCTTGGAATCGAGATAGATCTAAGCGCGATCTGTAAATAAATAACATGTAATTACAATATCGAATCACGATCCCGGCCGGCCTCCGCGCTCTAATCGCCGGTGAAGATGAGAACGCAGCCACGACGAAGGCTAACCGACTACATCTAATAACATACGACTGTCCGTGCCCACTGCCCGATGCCCGTATGTACAGAGAGCAACTTCATAATTAATTAAAAATGAACCATTCAACGCTGTAATCCTCCCACGCGGCTGCTCGTTAAACCATCAAGTATTCTTATCGTCATCGCTTCTGTCAAATTTGAATATAGAATCCCTTAATTTCTTTTTTACTATTATTTACGGCGAATGAGATGGCCCGTAGAGGTCTCCGCGTGGATTATTGGAATTTGAACGTTGTTGGTAACATCCACCGCGTTGATTTATTGATGTAGGGTTGCTACTTAATACTTCTTTTACGACGTATTGATTTTACTGTTGCCTACAAAATTAATGAGGTGTTGTTTTGTTTACGAAACGTCAATACGTTCTACGAGTACGGGTAGTAAAAGCTTATTTGAAGAAACTCACCGGCCATGTGAAGTCGAAGGGGAACACGATGGGATTGCTAAATCCTTCCACGTGGAGGTTGGGCACATCCAATGAGTTGCCGCCCAACACAGGCGTTGTAATGTCACCGAAGGTACACGGTGACGTTGTGTCGATATTAGCTTGATATATCTTGAGGCACACTCGGAATTTAGTCCTGCACGGCGCCAAACACGGCGCGTCACTATTTGAGGAACCATCACAGCACTGCCCACTACTTAACCTACCCAATGAGTTCGTAAAACTTTTTATCCTAAGTTCGAAGGAACCAGACGTCAGCACCTGGAAACGGAGAAAACAAACATTGTAGTTACTATGTCAGGAATGAAGGTAAAAGTAAAGATTAAGCGAGTCAATATATCAGATTCGGTGTGACAACACAAACAAACTAGCATTACAGCTTTCGTCGCCCCAAAGATGTAATCCTCAAACATGGTATTTGCACAACTGTCCGCGCGATCGATCCTGTTGAGACATTAACGGTTTTACTGGACACAGTATATATGTAGGTCGCTCAAAAATAGGGTTGCATTTACCAACGCGTGTGGGGTGAACGGTGACACCCCTATGAATCGAATTTCGAACGTTAGTGACGTAACAATACACTTTTTTGTTAATCGAACTGTCAAATAATGGCGCCCCCCGCATTGTTTTAAATGATCGTAGCTAAGACTACCGATTTTGATGAAAAACTTGGATATTTTAATGTGCGATGATAGATAAGTGGTCGTCAACGAGACGACTTGAATTCCCCGTAGTTTTTTACTACTATATATGAATAATAATAACTGGTTTTTGTTGCCCTCCAGGGTGTGCAACCCTTACATATCATAATGGAAGAATGCAGTTGGTCGTATTTATTGCAAGTAGGGTCAACAAGTTTAAAACTAATGCATTAGGGAGCGAACGCGTAATGCTAACATTTTCACAACAACTGCTTATTACTTAACATTGTTGTAATATAAAACAATTATGTGCTAGTGTGTGTACATGTAAGTTTTTTCATCTTTCTAACTTAACTTTAATCATATAATAAGTATGTAATATCAGCTTCGAAAGGCTGAACATAAAGGCTGTTCGTTCATTTTACAAAAGTCATATGTCAAAATGTCTATCCTGTTTTATATGGCATCGGAAGGAAGTGGTAGTATTAAATTATGGCGGCCATGTCTTGGCAAATCATTACCGGCGGCTAAAACTACACTGCGCGCACACTATAAACTTCAAAAAAGGTTTTAAAAGAATCATTTCCTGAGCTTTCGATCTAATTGATTATTTACCTGACTATGGTACAACAATAAATTACATTCATAAAACTTTAGTACGGCTCTCGTTAAATCATGACGTGTTTGGAATCATTAAACCGACCTGTTAATGACGCAGAATGCTTATAAACTCAGAATATCTCTTCAAATATTAGTATTACAAGTAAATAAATATTAGGGAAATATTTCAACTTGATATGCCTTCATCTTGTTATTAATAGCTCCGGCATTACATGTAAAGAATAATTTATGTTGAATTAAATCGGATACATAATTAATGTTGGTTAGATTCCGGGATTGTGAACGTACGTATAAGTTTTTGCATCGCAAATAACAAATGGATTATGACTACAGTTGGAAGCTTTTCTAATTAGATTCCCACGAATATGGCCTTCAGAACGTATTGTCATAAGATTACAAGATGGACAGAACAATAATCCATTCAGTTAGCCTTATCTAACAGACTGTATGTCTAACGATGTCAAAATTCAGCCCCCGTTTAAACAAAAGCTGTGGTAAAAAATACACCAGATTTCAACAAACTTCCTGCGTTTGCGACAGGGGTAAACTCATCTACCGCGAAACGTGCCTCTCTGTCTTTAAGCCTAGATGCAAAAGAGACAGAGTGCTCACTTCACACATCCACGTGGTCGTCAGGTAGGAGCGGAACCAAAAAAATGCAAGAAAAAATATACGCACCACTCTAAACATCCCCTTTTTTGTCCGTCAATTGTTTATAAACGAGTTATAGTAGCCAAGAATTTGATGAATTGTGGCTTACTGATCTAAAGTCGAATCTCTAAAAAGTTTATAATAAGTTTTACATGTCAATAAGTTAGTGAATTACGGTAAATAAAAAAAAAAGTGTGTTAAAAAGAGCGGGAAGCGAGCGGTCGTCGGCTTGCCCGAGGCTGGCAACAAACCAACAATTAAATAATACTTACCGGACTACCGAATAAGTTAAATTTTATTATGTCTTCGGGCGGATTTGACGCGCTGACTATCTGATTGATGTTGTTTAGACTATATTTTAAAAGGCGCTTATCTTTTTCGATGTTTCGTCGCTGTGTGTACTAAACAACAAAAAGTGTGGTTCTGGTTATGCCCTCTTTAATTAAATCGACGTCAACTTTTACGATAAATGGTGTAAGTTAATGTAGCAACAGAATTGAAGCTTAATATGTGCCAGTAATCAATTACAAGAGTGGCTAATTTATTTAACATTCCAATACAAGTTAATGCATTCGGCGTCCGAGTCGTGAACATCATTTTTTTCACGTTGAAAGGAAAGTACATTAATTGCGGCGAGCGAAGCAACAAGCAAACTATCCAAATTGATTTGAATACCTAATCTACGATCTCGTACTTAATAACATTTTACTTTATATTATCGAGTTACATTAATACTCTTTTTTTATTTCAATCGCAGCAGAATCACGATCTAGACATATTTTCCAACAAAATTACTGTGTCAAAATGATTTATTGAACACTTACTAAGCGGATGCGTGTTGCCTACCTATCGGTTTTGTCTGGAAATGTATTTTATTAACTTATTGGGAAAGATAATAAGGAGTAATAATGTGAACGCTATTGTATGTAAGTAAGGCAACAGTGTAAACACTCGTCCAAGCAGGTTGAACGTAGTCTAAAAATAACACAAATAATGAAACAGGGGAATGTTTTTCATCTCTCCCGTTATACACACGCGAAATGTGTTAAAATAAACACCAAAACAGAGTCTTTTAATAGCGCGACGATGTGGCCAGTGCATCAATTCGCAATATAATATTTAAATTTGGAATCATCGAGTATGATTTATTTTTTCATTTAAGTTTTTTAACGTACATTTCATACATATGCCATAAAGATGTTGGAGTCTTTAAATAGATCGGCGGGCGGGATCGTATTAATTGCACTTGAAAAAACTATAACATTTGTCCTCTAGGAGGCCAGCTGATGAATTAACGCTGTTACTAATTGGTTTTCTGACCTGACTTTTCACAGAACTTAGCTTCAATGTTGGTATTGTGTTGGGGGGACGCGCCGGGTTGGCACAAAGGGCGTTCCGTTTCAAGGAACGTCTTTAGAAGAAAATAAACGGCTTCTTTTATAAAACGTACCGATATTTAGTCGTGCGACAAATGTTGCGATCTCCTTTGTGTCGATTCGCTGGCAGCTGTACCGACACAAAAGAAACTTACGATCTAAGTCTGGAATTTGAAATTAACGGAGAAGCATGAGCGTGGAACGTAATAGGCCCCGTAGATTGCCTGGAACGTATATGGAAAGCGCATAATAAGGTATTTTGCGGTTATTTAAGCGTGTTGCACAAGCGAATTGAGATTTCGTGCGTCGGTGTACTGCGCGCTATGATCTCAGTCGTGTACTCTCTTATATCGTAAACCAGATCTTCTTGCTTGAATTGTTATTGGGATTATACGTGTGAACCTCTCACTGTGGAGATTGAATACGGAACTTATTAAAATTCTTTTGAGTTTAACCTTTTTTGTTCGGCGCAACGAAATAATTACCTACTGATATCCATTCTGGATACGCTGGCTATTAATTATTGTTTAAGAATTAATTTATGCTTTAGATTTACAAGTCTATTAATTCAATTTCAATGTAACTACTTACCTAATACAGGTACAATATGATTAGACTCGATACGACGTGCAGAGGAAGGAATGAAATTATGTTCAATGTAACTGCGATCATCCATTGCACATCGCAGGTAATTCGTAGCAACGTTATGAAACGGGTATGATACAGTCGACCACAGTTCCGTTTGCTTACCACTCTAAGTACCTAAGGAGATTTAGATGCAGTTACGAAATAACGAGCGTGAATCTTATTCTCATTACGCGTTTAATTATTTCTTAATTGATGCCCACACACCGAGTAATAACTTATTCGCAGCATCAAATGTAAGTGAGTATTCATAACTGTCAACTTATGGCCTTAACTTTCAACCCACGTGTAATAGACGCACCGACTCATCACTGCGCTATGCCTGAAGCATTGTGCAACCTACACCGTGTTACCAGCATCACTGGCACATTTACCCAATTCGGAATTTAATAATTTGCACTGGCAACACTAGACAATAGAACCTTAAATTAGAAGGTTACTGGCTGAATTACGCGGCATCCGATAAATTTCGAAATTTGAAAACGAACGAGCGCCCTACCACAGACGTTGCGCACTCATACCGAAATAGGGTTGAATTATTTACTTATTTACAAATACATTTATGGTATTGGTTTATTATCTCGAAGCACATCATTCAATATCCTTTGATAATTTCACACAAGAAAGCTAAGCACTGTATCTTTATGTTTATAAATAATACATAATATTGACTTCCCCGAGCATCCAGTTTGGTTACATTGCGTAATCTGATCAATGGTCCTGGCAGCCATGTTCGTTTTTTCACAAATGTCACTGGGAATCAATTAAACGTCCGGTCGATTGATACACAAAAACACATGAATTTTATTGATCGGCTTTTCGACAGCGGCCAATTGTATTATGGTCTAATTAAATGTATTTCAACAGTTTTGTCGTAAAGTTAGAAAAACAAGATATCTTTTGTGAATCTGTTGAGTGACGCACGCGCTGTTCAGTCGGTCATTATACACTCATCACAATGAGACGAAAACTTAAAATTTCACATAGTTAAGCTGTTAAAAACCAGCGATTATACGTGTTTCGTATAAAGTCTCTTATAATTGAGTCGGTTCACATAGAACAAAAACCGTTTTGGACAATGGACGAAATTATAACAGAGTTTAAAAAGCTACCGTTAAGGAGTTTCACATACTTAAATACTTTATTGCTACTAACATGACATATGACGATTAATTTATTATTGTGCCTTTGTTAGTACTGTGTGATTTTTTCCGTAAATGGGAATTTGAAGCGGCGGGAGGTTTCCACTAAAAAGTCATTTACTTACAAAATTGTTGGGAAAACGCGGTGAAAATGTGTGGCCACACCAATTCGTTGGTATTTGTTAACAAAATAGTTTTCTGCACATAAAATTAACACCGCTTGCCCAACTTTATGAAGTAAATTTTACGCCACGAGAATATATACCTACGTAGGTGCGTTGAAATTACGAGCTAACTAACAATTTTTATTGGACATAGTTCACCTGAGTTACTATCGTGTTTCTTTGCTATACATTTTATTTCTAATTTAATTACAAGTCTACAGTTCGTTCTACGCACGTAGGTAACATTTAATAAAGTTTTACTTACTTTATAAGTAGCCACATAACAGTACTGTCTATTAAATATGACGATATAAGCAGTTAAAATGACCATTAAAGCGGCTGGTTTACTCTGATAACCGACTCACGAGTCAGAATTGAACTTTAAATCAACATGTCAGGCCGGCAATTAGAATTCGTGTGCCCGAGTTGAGTGGATTGTGAAAAAAGCAGATGTTAGTGTGTTTAAGAGTTGGCATTAATGACTGCACCTGCTCGAGTAATATTACCGGGGTTACCAGTTTCAAACTCATAACTTCCTTTATAATTAACAAACGAGATTTCATTAATGTTCGTGTTGAGTTACTTTTGAATTTGGAACACTTTTAAAACTTTTCACTAACTTGACAACCCTAAAAATAGACAAGTGCCACACTACACACATAGACAGAAACACACCTAAAATGAAATATAACTATATATCTCGGTTATATCACAAATCGTAACGCAATCATACACGCACAAGTAACGTTCCATGCGAGCTATGACATGCTATGTCCTAGATTTGCGACAGGTAGACGCCGAGCGTAATCAAGAATACGTTATAGAATGCAACCAGCAACAATGTCGTACCTATTGCATTAAAAATATCAACTCGTTTATAATACCCATACATGGACAATGAGGATACGACCGTTTAATAAACAGCCTATCCTCTGAATAATTTCTCAGGGATAAATGCGATCACGAATCGAACGGAGCAACCTTCAGTGAATTATTTACTTATTTCAAATTGGAAATTATTACCTTGCGGTTTTCGGGCAGACGTGTTTCCGACGCCGCTTCCGATCAAAAAGGTAGTGGAATCATCACGCGATTCAAGTTTCGAACGCGATCAAAGAAAGAATAATGCAGCTGAATTAGCTACTGGCTGCACGTGGGGGTAAAAAAAGAAAAATCCGGACATCGATTCCTACGGATGTATCGAGTATAAAGAATCGAGTTGACTGATCGGTGGGACAATTACATCAATGCACGATCGTCGTCACGTAGACGGGACCAGGGGCAAGACAAACCAGTCCTGAGCGGTGGTGCGCAAAATACCGTTTTTTTATGAAACAACGCGACTTCATTCATAATGTATTATAGCGCCTTGAAAACACACTCACACGCACAGGACTATAAATAAATAGATAGGTACAGCTTGTATGCTGGTGTGAAGCGGACCCACACTATTTAATTAAACCTGATTGGCTCAACAGAAAAAAACAATTAAAACAGCAATTGACGGTAAAAAGTGCACAAAAATCACACGGATCAGCCGGACTCGGGGATCAATTCCCGACACACCGGTTGTTGTCGACAAGGTTTATTAATATTCGCATGTAACAAAGTGCATGTGTTTGTGATATTAACGGTACATTTTGCGAACACATTAATAACTATTCGTTCAGAGTGCGCACACGCAGGCATTGGGGAATAGTTCCCTCATTGTAAATTGCCCTCGAGACCGGTAAACGATGCGGGAGAACAAAAAGTCATTCGAGACAAGTATCGATTTTTTTATTATTATCGAGTCTTGTTGACATTTCGGTGGCGCTTGTAAATAGGCTTTTACTTAAACTGTGGGCTCCGGTATCTATGTCGGGGAAAGGCTAAGGAGGTCTAGATATCGAATAAAAGTATCGAGTCGGGCGTATACCGATAGTTAGAGTGAATCATGCGATGAGCTTTTCTTGAGCTTATTCAAGATGGTACTCGTAGATGTAGCCGTACATAAATAAACATCGAGCATCTCCGCCCATTGGACTGAAAGGCTATACTCGATTGATTGATATGTTTCCTTTAAGATGTTAATGAGGCAAATAACGAAGTTAATTAAGTCTGCGTTTATCGATAAGCAAGTCTACTTAAGAATATAAAAGTGATGCGATAAAAAATACGAAAGTTTTATGAACTGTGAAGTTCACACGTCACGTCGTGGCCACTCCACGGCCACACAACCCTTGGCGTAGGACAAGTAACCTTGACCGGTTCATAGGGCGATGACCTCGTACTACTCTAGATATTATTTACAGTCTGCCACCTTTTGACAATTTTCTCGGAACTTTCATCTCGAGCGCATTGTTTATGTACGTCCAGCTTTACTGCGCTCGGCGCCTATTTACCGGCGATTAGCGACGGTCAATAAACAAGCAAAGGGTTCCGTCGTGTAAACTAGACCGAACTACTAACCCTGCCCGAAATATCGCGCGCCTTGAGAGTCGTCTGGAAGAGTTATTCTTGTCGTTGGTGCATGCAGATCGTCGCGAATACGTCTCCTCCAGACTCGAATCCACCGCAAAGCCTCGGAATGCATCTAATTTTAAAACGAAGAGGCTCGCGACCTAGCTGACCCCGCGCGCCGGTCGTATTAAAACCTGAACTTTCTTTATAACTATGTACCTATGTTTGCTCGGTAAACGTATCGGACGGACACACACAGGCGCGTGGAGAAGTCGGCGGCCCGATCGCGGCCGGTCACGACTGCGAGCTCACCTACACTACACCCTCGCTCCCGACCACTATCCAGGACGATCTGCTAGACCACTCGTGGGAAACTATCGCCTAGTGCACAGCGGTCGCACCTACAGCCGCCGGTTTGCATCGCTGTCTTGTTTATGAGAAACGATGCGAACCACGAGTTTTTGATTGGATTTACGCCGATGCGAAACGTAAACAAACGGGGATTCGCGGTTTTTGGTGTCGATATCAGTACCTGGGGTAGAAACCCTAGCAGGGCGATGAGCACCGCGGGGGCGCGCATGCTGGCGCGTCCGGGCTAGCGGCGCCGGGGCATACGTCGGGACCGTACCCGGTCGTCAGCACTCGAAGGTAGATCCGCAGTAATCCATCACTTGCACATGTATGCACTGAGCGTTTCACTGCAAGTCACACAGCACAAGTATCGAGATGTCACTAGTCGCTCATGGGCTCCGGCGAACCGGTCGCGAGATCGTTCACTACGTTCGAAACGCGCGCGTCGCGTGTAGTGGCGTACAGAGGCCTTAATAACGTGTTGTCGCGGCGGCGCGTGACGGCGGACTGAGGGCGGGCGGCGGCCGCGGTGCGGGCAGCGCGCACCTGGCGCGTGGCGCGACGGGCCCCGAGAGATGGCGCTGTGCGGCGCATCTGCCGGCGACCTGCCCCGCGCGCCCCTCGCACAGCCCGCGCGCTCCGCCGCGCACCCGACCAGAAAATATACGGAAAACAGCCCATGTACTGTATGCGAACACGTGCCCCTGTGTAAAAACTTCGGAGATGAATAGACTGCTATGCAGTTTCTTTTTTTTTAATTATTTAAAGACACGTCTTGTCAAAACAATTTATTCTGTTCGAGTATCGGCCTACAGTTACGTAGTTTTGTAATGTTTATTAGTAATAACTGCAATAAGTAAATAAAGTTCAGAGATACTTCGAATACCTATTAAGTTATCTACTTTGTAGTTACACAATGACAATAATTTTAGAAAACCTATTGTTTATTTACCTACTTAATAAAATACTTAGGTAGGTATGAGTTGGCGTTATTGGTACTTACATGAGTATATTTGAGTTTATACTTAAGTTTGGTAACGAAAGGGATAGCTGTTTAAAGTTTCAGCAGAATGTGGCCAAGGAACTAGTATAAGGATATTAGATACTGAGTATTTTTGTTTTTTAATCATAAAATTATAAGCTTAGTAGTACCTACCTATACTACCAATTTCAGTACCTACCTATATAATTAATAAATGTTCGAGATTTTTTGGAAAAGGTACTTAATTTTTTTTTTGCAATCCTGCCTTTAACTCTGTACATTATGGCACTGGGCACATACTGCCAATGTACACCCACTTCACTCCAGGCCAGTTATGTCATGGTTATAAGTCATAGGATGGTTATGAATGTAATATTATCTTTAGTAGCACGGATTCTGCTTATGCCTTGTATTTTTGAAAAATCGAAAAAAGGTACCTAGTAATTTATTGCCCGACCCCGGAAATCGAACTTTAAACCGCCATTACCCGAAAAATATGTATAAAATTAATGAACAAGGGAATTGCGTGATACAGTTTAGTTACGGATGCAAATTTTTGGTAAATCTCCACAATTTATTGGCAGCTGCTTTAAAAACAGATAAGAAATAAATGTACCGAAGATGGCCCAAGGGCTGAATGAATGAATTAATGGTTTATATTATTATTTTATAAAAATCATTCGTTCCCCCGAAGTGATCAACGCCAGTAGCAAAGAACGAGTAAAGTCATTATTTTAATTCGACTGGTTAGGTTTTTATAACCGTAATCATTTTGATAAATTGAATTTGATAATTTTTATGTCAATAATATTTTTTATATTTAATTTTAGTTTTGTTTTAACTTTCTTTTTATCGAATAACAAATTTTTGGAGAACTTTTATGAACGTCTATTAAGATCCCGGGTTGTATCCTCGGGTTATGTTATGTCATATTTATTGGGTTCATCTATTTAGGTCAAACTTTCTTTCAATAAACTTAAAATTGTATTTGCAGTTTAGTCCATTTGGTACTTATAGTGTGTAAATAGCTATAAGAATCACATACGAACAATGTCTTTGCTTAAAAAACACGACAATAAACTTCGACAAAAAAAAAAAAATTAACCCTAAAACCATAGAGTATGAAAAACACAGATCCGGTTTCCACCTACTAATTTGTTGATCGCACTTCGTAGAACTAATAACCTAGTTTTATTGGTCGTTGTGACCACGCCTTATTGTACCTACCTTGCTTACTGGCATAAAAAATGTTTAGTACTACGTACGTACCAAATGACTATAAAAGTAAATTAGCTTAATTGTAATTATAATACTACGTTACATTTGGCTAAGTGGAGATTATTGTTGCCGTGTGTGAAACTTCGTTTGTTTCGCGGTTTTACTTGTGTGTTAATCGACAATCTTCTCTAATGTTACGGGGGCTTGCGTGCTGAGCTGAGGACGTTGAATCGTCGCTAATGGGACAATCGAGGTAACTAGGATTTGTTTACCAATTCGGTTCTTTATTTGGTTTTTCAATTTTTTCAGTAACATTACGGAGTCTGTGTGCAATCACTTTTATTTACCTATCTACTGCTATTATTTGCTATAACTACATTACAATTGAATCATTACATAAATGACATCAGAGTGTTATCACGTCTGTGGCTCTGTTATTGTTTGTCAAATCGATGATGTCAAAATTTATCTTTATTTTTTTAATTCATTGTTGTCGATGGATTGTATTTAGAAATCAACTAAAATAGAATTTTTTACTCAGTCAAAATAAGGTTCGATAGGACTTCACCTACGTCATCCTTCAAGTGAAAAAAAAGGTGAAATGACATGTGTTTGAATTTGGAACTAAGTCAATTATTTTTCGATTATAGAAATGTCAACTTTATACGTGTTAATTTAATTTGGGAAATTAAACATTATTGAATTTTATAATTATAAACTTAGATAGAATTATAAATTGACTACGCATAAAATGTAGATTCTAATTGAAAACAAAATAGAAAGAAGGACAGTATTAACCTAGCACCAGACAAAGTCCCTAATCTTTACGAAATCATTGATTAGCGATTATTACTTCATCACGCAGCGAAGTTGCGGAAACTGTACATAAACAAAGGTCAATAACCTCTGAAGATTAATCTTATCGGATAATTGATAACAATTATTAGACAAATACATTTTTAGTAAGAAATTTGGAGGAAAGTTAGATGATTATTCTGTTTTTGATTGACAATCTATAGGTACACTGACACCGAGGTCCTGGATGACCATAATTCGTACGTATTAATTAATTAGTGAGTTAATAAGTAGCAGTAGATTTTATGTGGCAGTAGGACATGCTTAGCAGCCTAACGCAACACTAGAGCAATTGAATTTATTAAAAATAGTTTATATGTATAGTAAACTTTAGGGCCGTGGGGCCCAAGTGCACATCTTCTTTACAAAGATATTGTAAAGAGGATGGTTGACACTTCAGGTGATCGAAGGGCTGGCTTCTACCTTGGACAAAGGTTAAGCATTGCCATTCAACGTGGTAATGCTGCCAGTCTTTTGGGCACCCTACCTCACGATAATGATGAGGAAAATTTTTTTTTTGATGCCTTATTATAGCTTATTTATTTATTATTACCTTTTTTTTAAGGTGTAAATATTTTAGTTCATAGTTATTTATATTTTAAGTTGTATATATTTTCATTTAGTTATAGTTAATATTAATTGTATATATAATAAGTATGTATTTTCAAATAAATTTGACCACTCATGTATAGTAAAGTAGATAGACCAATGTCATGTTAAACAAAACCGTAATAAACAGATTCTCGGTAGTCACGAATTGATTGACTGATAGGTACCTATCAGTCATTTGGCAGAAACGAAAGAAACAGTTACCTACCTTATCTTCGACATGATTACGATTGTGACGTTACGTAATTTGACGTTTAATCTATTGTCTCTGATTGTCAACGTGACGTCATAAAACTTAAATGTCTCTGTAAAAAACCCGCGAATTTTTTCCCTCCAAAAGTAACGGTCATTCGCCAGTCTAGCAGATTAACATCTAACAATTAGTGCGTTTTACAGTAGGTAGGTACCTTCTCATTGTCCGCATTAGTCAATTATATTAATTAAAAGTCTTAATAGACCTGAGAAAGGAATAATTACTCGCTTATCTCTAGCACATGTCGTAAACCATGTGTAATTTTGTATCTGTGTGTAGGTACAGTCTGCGATGAAAGTTGGGAACAATGTCTCATTGGATGGATTTTTGGGTACCTATGTTTTATTTTATTTAAATCGTAAGAATACCAATAATTTTGTATGCGAAGGCGGTAATAAAGCTACAATTTCAATCCACATTGTGGTTACAATAGAAAAATAAAAAACTATTATCAGATTCATTTTTACTAGCATTATAAGTGAAAAACATACAAAAATGAGAAAGTCACAGCTGAAAAAGACTTATTTTATTATTTTCTTCTCTAATTTCAAGTTAGTTCTAGCAAGGACGCAAGTGACTTGATTTTATCTGATTGAACACGGAGCTTTACAGTAAGTATGTCCTTTATTTAGCTTAAGATCCATTATTGAGAAAATAAAACAGTATAATAAACACCTTGGCTTCTTGAAGTACACGATGTTATCATTACAGATGTGCTGACTATAACTTTGGCCCCAAAATTGGTTTTACCGACTAGTGGGCAGATGTCTGGTTATCATAGACTAGCTGCCACGCGGTTTCACACGCTCTGCTCAGCTCCTATTGGTCGTAGCCTGATGTTTTATAGCCTATAGCCATCCTCGATAAATGCACTATCAAACACAAATAGAATTATTCAAATCAGACTTGTAGTTACGGAGATTAGCGCGTTGAAACAAAAAAACAAACTTCCTTCCGCTTTTTATAATAGTATTTTTTTTTAATTTCGTCTAAAATATATGAATAAACGCTACGGATGAAACAAGGTATTAGGCACCAATTGCAATCGACTGTACTTACTTTAAGTAAACGTTTAAATTAAATTACACTACATAGTCTGTGGGTATTATTTTGACAGTGTAACACTTTGTTTGTATTTAATCGGTTTATGAGCGGAAGAGAACTTTGCATTAATTAAACACACAAAATTATCTTCGTAATAAAGCCTGCATTTATTAAAGAAAACTAGCTAAGCCCGCAACTTCGTCCGCGTCGAATAGTGATTCACAGCCTGTAGTTGATAGCAGATGTAGCCTATATGTTGCCCTGACCTGTTAGTAATATTATTGCAAAATTTGTAGTAAATCCATCCAAAAACACCATCCAAAACCCGGACGTACGTCCGGGATGAACTCGAAAAGTGCTGCACAGACAAAGAGACAAAAATTCTAAAAACCATATTTTTGGTTTCGGTATCGACCGTAGATCACGCTCAAAGCATTCTTTTAAAAAATATTCTATGTACATACATACATTTACACTTTCCTACGATTTTATTATATGATTTAATATTTTGTACGTAACGAACAGCCTTA